CTGTTTGAAGCATTGAACAAAGCATACCACACAAACTTATAACTTGCCGTTAGTTTCGCTCGCTTCTTATAAGTTTCAAAACTTTGTGCTTCCAAAATAAACAGACCACCAGGGCGAAGATGTCGATAAACACGTTTGAAGAAACGTTTGATTCCAGCATCTCCCCAGTTCAAATGAATCCATTTAGTGATACTTAACGCCATGATAACATCATATTCTTCTTTCACCTCAAAATAGTAATTTGAATGATGACATGAAAGAAAAATTGTAATTTTATTGCAAAGTGCGCCCAATTATGACAACGTGTCCATCGATGGTGTCAATAAATAACAAAAATCTTATCAACTTCGGTTTCAAATTTTTAGAGTTTTTGAAGACTAAGGACTGAGTAGTCACTCCTCATGGTGATAAAATGCCCTAGCCAGGCATCAACTGACAAAATAAAATCACACACCGCATCAAGCAGTTCATCCTTTTCCAACACATAATTTTCGCAGCGAAACCATATATTATCGGGAAATTTGGTTGAAACAGTTATAGATGGTGCAGAAACTGGCCCATAGCGTTGGGCAAATGATGCTGGGAAACCACCAACAATCTAGACATAGACTTTCGCAACATTAATTCCAAATCAAGTAACATTATTTATAAAAAGAATTTCTAAATCATTCTAACATCCAAAATACGTGCTACAACATTACCCACTTTAGTCAAAAATCAAATTCGACTTTCGCTATAACGAGAAGTCACAACTTTTGAATCACTGTATAAAATCAGAGTATTCAAAAACTCAATGGAATATTTCAATTTTTAAATTATTTGACTTCGTAGCAATTAGCTTCGGTTCGAAAAGTAGAAAGATTTTTGAAACAGCATAACGTGGAAAGAGAAGTTCTTGCCATGAATATACGCTTGCCCTTTAAATTCTGGTTAGGTATTCTCTAGATTTTACCACAAAAATTTATAAAACACTGAGAAATCAAAGGCATACAGGTATATCGTTGTCACAATAGTGACGTATATTCTTTCGGGCCACACCAACTAAATGAGCGTCAATATCAATGCCAACGATGTTCCTTGGCTGATATTCTTTAGCAATTGAAAGAGTCAAATAGCCAACATTGCAACCAATATCTAAAACCGATTTCTTTTCGAACCATTCCTTCTTCAATACTTTCATCCGCGGATCGCGGGAGCTACCTTTCTCAAGGCGACTTCCGTAATATCGAGTATAATTACCATATCGAAATCTGCAAAAGAAATCCTCAATTACAATATCAAAAAGCCCACGTAAAGCAAAATACTAAAAAATTCAAAATAAATGGTTCTGCTGAATTGAAAAACTACTTAGTCCTAATGAATTGCTTTTTTTTGACAAACTCGTATTTTTGTCATAATCGTCACATAATATTGAATAGTGAAATATATGACATCTATTTAAAATTTAAATAACTCTTCTGTGTTTCTAAAATTATTTTTTAGAAAAAATTTCAGAAATTGAAATCATAAGTTCTCATTTCTAGAATACAAGAAGAAAAGTAGGCAAGGAAAGATGGCTACATAATAATATTTCTGAATAAAAAGCTATTTTTGGCATTAACTGGTAACTTTAAAAGAACAATGGCCATTCTTAAAAAATTTTCAAATCTATTTTTTCATCAGAATCTCAAAATTCGGACATCAATATAAAGCGCAAACCTTTGATTATCTTTGTGTTTTTTCTCTGATTTTTTCTCCTCAGTTTTTTCATCTTCTACTTTGCATATTTCAACTGCTTGTGAACTACTCGTTCCTGCCACCACTCCAGACTGCTGCTTTTCAGTGCTGTCGTGCACTTTTCGTCCTCTTTTTTCAATTTTCTGATGCACTAGCCTTTTGGATAAATTCCCGCAAAATTTCCTCTTAACAAACATTTGTAAACAGTTGAAAAATTCAACAAGAAAATGTGGGATATGAAACCAAAACGAAAACAATATATGTTTTGAAACATAAATTGAAAAAATCAATTTCTTCATTGCTAAATGAAAATTTTTCAAATGTTATAATTTGCTGGCAAAAATAAAATACCACGACTGAAAGAGGTACTGGTGACACAATTGGATCTTCTTGTCTTTTTTCGTTTATGCCACCAGCAATGCTCCCACGTTGTTTGGATGAGCTTTCGCTACTGCCCTCAACTTCTTCTTTTTCTGTCAGTTTGCTATTACGTCTTTTTCTTAAAAAAAACGCGAAAAAAATATTTCGGGTTTGGAATTTATGAATTTTTCACAGAAATGCTCAAATAACAATAACAGCACTTGCCATATTTTATGAACTATTTCAATATTAAATTTCTCTCAAATGTTGTGTATTCTAACTAATAGGATTTGCACTTCGTTAGGATTATTTGGATGCCACATAATCGATCTTCAGTTTTTGCCCCAAATATAACAAGACTCATACCGTCATCAAAGTCTCACATAAATGAAAACAGTCCGATTTAGAACACCAAAAAGAACCTCCTAGCACGATTTTTGTTGACATTTCGTAGATTTAAAGGATCATGAATATTCTTAGGTATAATGATGTCGACTGGTTTCATATTTTCTGCTTCATCGACTGGCTTCACCGACTTTAAATTTAACGGATCCTTACTGTTGCCACCATGAAGATACGGAAAGTCATCAACGGTACCTGTATAACCAAACCGCCGTCGCTTGTTCCATGGTCCAGCATCTTCAAAAAAACGCTATATTAAATCCCCATTATCTTGATTTCAATAAAATCAGTAACAATTATTCATCTTAGTTATGATAAAGAGAGAGACTTTGCAGCAACATTGAAGTTTCTAGCGTCTGTAAAGCAAATTATGTTAAATTAAAGATGTCTGTTAATGAAGAAAGTTAAAATAGCTACGATATTTGGGAACATATAGATGGGAATTAAACGATATAATAAACGAAATAAATTTTTAAATTCTTCGATCATCTGTAGCATATTAATGACTTAAATCTGATCATAACTTTGTCTGTATGTTTCGTAAAAAAACTTACCTCCACGTATTCGACGTTTGAATGGTCGGCCGCCGCGAACGCCACCCCTCCAATGTCCTCGTCCACGCCCACGGTAAAATTTCCCCTCACGATGCATTCCATCCTCAGTTTGCACTTCAACATCGACGCTCACTGGCTGATTCGACTTTGGTGTATCCGGTCTTGACTGACCAATAGACTTCTCCATAGATTGTAGATATCTCCTGAGAAGCATGCACTCTTAATTTTAACGAAATAAATGATGCAAGCAATAACAAGAGCGAAGAACATGAAATGAATATGAAAAGCATTATAGGGAAAAGAGATTGGTCAATATACGAACAGCTTTAAGGATTAACGGTGACAGTTGAAACAGAGCTTTAACAAAGAAGCAATAAGTTAACGTTTAAATTCTAATCAATCATCAAGCTTTTGCTGAGTTTATTTTCAATCGAAATCAGACAAGAAGTGAAGTAAAGCAATCGCTTCAAGTCACTTTAACGCGAAAATCAGCACGCAAATAAAATCGTTTAATCTGCAAGTTATATTCTACAAATTCTTTAAAAAAATGCTTTCCAGCCTACAGTATGCAGCAGTCTAACGCATCGTCGATTTCCATGTTTACTACTTCAAAAATGTCAAAATTCTCACAAGAAAACATTATCCAGGAGAACGCTTAAAATTGTTCTTAAAAAATATATGAGAAAATTTCTAATGCACTCAAACATAATAAGTTCAAGTGAAACGTCTGAAAAATGTACGATATATAACTTGATGAATTATACGATATATAATTTAATGAATTTAAGCAATATTAGCAATGTAATAAACATGGACGAACTAGAAATGTTAGTTCCATAGAGGAACCTCAAAAAGCATAACAGTATAAATATCGAAATTGATAGCGCGAAATGCTAACAAATAAAGCACGAGAAGCTTACAAATCCATACAACTTTTTAAATTAATCTTGCAAAAATTACAAAAATATTCTAGTGAAAGTGCATAAAAGATTGAACAGAGAAGCACTTCACATTCGCAAATCATCATAATGTGGTATTCAAATATTCAGATGGAGTTTATTTCTATTTTTAGATAAAAAATAGCAAAAAAATTATCTTTGACCTATAACAGAAGAAAATGATGACAAAAATAATCTCAAGTCAAAACAAAGAAATTTGTATTTCCAAATTAAATTTAAATGTTTGAATTCTCTGCAAAATTAATTTACTTTTTTTGATCAACTTATAGAAATTGTGAACTCTAAATGAAAAGAACAGAAATGACAAAAATAACAGAAGCATATTCACTTCATTCGCTATCAAGTCTTGTCCTTGCGAGATATTTAGAGATCTCTCGTAATGATAACTTTTGTTCTGAAATAACAATCTTAGAATCGGATGATACAAAGTTTTTTTAAACTGTTGCTCAAACTTCAGAGCAAGAACACCCTGGGTTATTTGCTTCCATCTATCAATTATAAAATGAATAGAATTTATGAAATTTGAAGAAATATTCAGTCAACCATATAACACTAAAATACAATTTCTGAAAATGTTCACCTTATGATTAACCTCTTTATATTACGAATTCGTGATTGTTGCCTTTCATATGATTCAAACGGCTCCCAATTTTCAATTATAAAAACCAAGAAAGCAAAAAATTTTGTAAAAACTGAAACTTTTTTTAGCAACAAATAGTTAAGGAAAAAATGAATAATAATAAAGTTGTAGGGTTGAAAAAAGCAAAGATGACAAACAGTAACATCAAGAACAGCAGTTAATGCAACGTCATCTCTGTCGATTTTAATAATGCTTGAGGCATACTGTAATGTTCAGACCAACAAAATTACCTATGTTTAAATTTCGCGCCGTAGATAAGCTATGCGAATTAATAATGAGGGTATTCTTGAATCTCCCATAAGTAAAGCGGGGAGGGCGGACATTTATGCAATGAGAGGAGAATACACATTAATGCATAACATCACGAAGCCACGGGGAGAGAAAAAAAAGTATTTAGAAAGTGTGCTCAATGTAGGAAATCAAAATAAAGAGATCAGGAAAGAGGAGAAAATCTCGAACTTCCCACTCTCTCGCATACCGTATTCACATGACCCTTCACCTCAGTCACCACCAATGGCACATACTTGTACCCTCAAATCAACACCACACCTGTCAATGGTATGTGTTGCGGCTCTCACATAAACTTCGGACGGTACGCTCTGTGCAATACATATAAAAATGTTGTTGAAAATTTGAGAGAGAAAGAGATTACATTGGTGGGAGGGAGAGATGTGGGAGTGCGATCTAGGAGATCCCGGAGAAGTGCTGCGTTGGTCCGTTCTCTTTCAGGCTCTTAGACTGAGTTATTAACAAATGAATGACCATTCCAGTTGATTTTATATGATCTCGATAGCAGTGCCATCCCGCCATCCTTATTTTTTTTTCATGAGACAGATCAAAATATGAATGGTCAAGAACATATGAATAAGAGTATGGAAAAATGAACTTAGTTAACATGTAGCAGATTATCGTTTAGACTTGGATAACCTAGTGAATGCTAGTGAAGGCTAACATTGTAATGGGCAGAAAATACAAAAATCATCGGAATTGTTCGATGAAGGAAAAGGGTTTAATAAGTGAGTCGTTTAATGACAATTCTGGGCATATTACTAATCTCTCCTCAGTAGAATCATCCAATAAACATCGATACTGCTTTATTGGACAGTGCATGCAATTTGAATTAGAATTTAAAAAAGGGCCAAGCAGAGATGATGTTAAGGGTAATGTTAAACAATCTTAAGCATTAGTTAAAATGTGCGACGAAAACTGCCATCGTATCCACAGTATGATGTTCATCCATTGCGTTGTAATAACTCGCAGTTTTATTGAAATACGAAATTATGCTTGCTGACAGCTGCATGTTGCCCAGTTGCGGTCTTGGAACGAAAAATTTCATGCTGTTAATTTTTTTAATGAGTAGAAAGAGGAGAGAGAAGGGAATGAATTTGCGGTTTTCGGGTCACGGTGAACTGGTTGTATGTGATGCCTCGTGTGACAGATTGGGATTTCCCGTGTGCCAATATATTTGATCAGAGGGACATATTTAATAAATCCATCTTTTTCTCTTTGTACTCTTTCATTGGAATTATGATTCGGATCTAAATAAATCAAGTCAAAATTTATGGCAACTTATAATTGCTTTAAATATCTTTTGAGATTGTTCCTGCGAAATGGCTTTGAATTTTATGGGTTTCTTTTTTGAGTTTTACAATTTCTTCAGTTTATGGCAGAAGACAAAGATTTTGGCATCGTTCCAAGATATTTGTCATTCTGTGGAAGTTATAATTTGTTGAAAATATGGTAATGAAGTATTTTGTTGAAGAAAGTAAATGAAGGTAAAAGCGAGAAGCTGACGGAGAAAGGAATTGGGAAAGTCGATGCTAAGTGATGTTACAGTATAAGAGGATAGCAGAGATATTTCTAAATGAGTGTCTTTACAGATCTCGATAACTTATGACGATACTCTCGGTAGTGGGAGGCAAGGGCCCTGGCCCGATTGAAGGGGAAGAACCAGAACGAGTGTCGAGATCCCTTCATGTTAGTTTGCTATTATATAAATGGCGATTCATTTTATTCCTTAATTGTTTCATTCAAAATAGCAGGAATAAAGTAGAGGGAATAAAATAGTTGTAACTTGTCCAATATTGATAAGTGATTATTGGCAGTTGATTATCCAATTGTGATGAATAAAAAACGCTTGCAGCAGAATGCGCTAACAGCGGAGGAATTGGGTTTCTTTAATGAAGTAAAAAATTTCTTAGGCAGCAGCGTCAATGAACAAATGCTCGTGCAGGCTATCAAGGTTAGTTTCGAGTTGAAATTATTGGTTGTAATTAGTGTATCAGTAATGAGCTGTCATTTTTTTGCTTTCTGTCAGTGCATCCAATCATAGAGTGAATTACATCGTATTACATAATCTTTCCTTTATAAAGCTCTCAAAATGTCGAATCAACACTACGACATATTGCAATTATGGATTAAGTCATTGTGATGGATGAGCTGATAGTCATGAATTACTTTTATGCAAATTGATGTGTGCTTCAGAGTCATGGGTCTCACATCCAACCACATTTAAGTGGTAATAATGTTTTAAATGATGTCATCAGTCTTTATTTTGATCGAATGGAATCGGTCGAGAAGCCAAATAAGCAAGTCCGATTTGACGAGGTCATACCATTGTTTAATACTTGTTTAATAAATTTGATCTTCTGTTTTTAAAGTTTAGCTTTGCTTCCTTTGTGCATTTGAATTCTATTGCAAATTGCTTGTGATGATGTTTATGTCAAAAATTAGGAGGTAAGGCTTGATTTTTGTGTCAGAAACGAGATTGGGCATCTATAAGCACTTAACAGGCTTAACAGATTGGGCATCTATAAGCACTTAAAGATTTATTTTAATATATTTGATTGATGGAAGATTATATTCTGCATATTGTAATTTTGAATTTCTCTACAGCATGTTAAATATTCACTCTTTTAGCATTTGGATGTTCCTGCTCCAGCTTCATCAATTAGCCGTCCATATTCTTTTAAGACACGTGGTACAACGATGGAGGAACCAAAAGTAATCGATCTAGCATCAGATGAGGATAAAGGTGTTCAGAAATGGGGAAATATACCACGAAGTGTGTTGGGAAATCGAGAAGAGCAGGATGTTATTAAGTATGTTTGGTCATATTTGTTTAAAATATCCTTAATTTACATTTCATATTACCTTTCTAGTACTTTGATATTTCTACCGTTCATCGTTCTAAAAAAAACCTCTTTTGTTTTGTAATTTGTATGTCTCTAATGTATATCGTCTTGCATGGTCCTTATGAGTAATTTATGTTGCTTATATAGATTATTATTATAACTCTTCCATAGGAAGCATCATAGCAGGTTATCCAGTAGTTCTGTACATTTACTAACTGAATGATCTTAGTAAAGGAGAAACTTCGCTGTTTTTATTTATGTCAATTTTATATTTTCAGAGCTATTGAAGAATCCTTGAAAGACAATCACAACATTTCTGGTTTCTCTCCTTTTGCTCAGAAGGATCCGGAAAATCCATATGAAAGGCGGCGATGCGGTTTAGCGCCTGTGGGACTGAAAAATATAGGCAACAGTTGTTGGTTCAACGTTATTGTACAAGTATGCTCTCGATTGTAATGAAGTGAAGTTTGGGTCTTCGAGATCTCTATCCAAACAGATCCAGAATGAAAACCCATTAACCATTTTTGCTTTATGTCTTGTTGAAACGCAAACTCTTTGTGTGTCTTGTTGAAAATGTTGCGCTAAATTGAAATACTGAGCTTTGATGATGGCAAATGATTTATGGATATTTCTAGCTTCATTTGCTTATGCATGCCAAGATGATTTTTTCAGACACTGTTTCACATACCACGTTTCCGCCAAATGTTATTTGACATACCAATCAAAAATAGGACGAAACATATTACTGGCAAATCAAATTCCTGGGGAAATGAGTCAAGTCAACTTAATGAGGTTTTTTTCACGCTTTAGTTTAATGAAATATTTTGAAAAGCTAAATTGTTCGTCACTGTGTTTTCTTACACATGTATAATTCGGCGGTCTATTTGTTATTTTATTTTCTAGCTATAAAAATTGGATAGGGCTGCGGCGGTTGTTCTCTCTTGTTTTTCGAATTGTGTGCTCCCAAATTCACATGATTATACTTTGTGCTAACTGGTTTTTATTGCCGTGACAAGCTTGTGAAGCAAAAAAAAACTTGATCAAAAAGTGTGTGAGATGTAGCTCCGTACAAATGTTGAATTATTAATGAGTTGCTAATTTACATAAATTCTAACTTTTCACCGCTGTTTTAGAGTAACGTGGATGCGTTAACAACCTCACTTTTAATATCTCTCCGTCAACTAGCTGCCTGTCTTAAAGCATCGTCGCGTGCATATGTTGATCCAACAAATGTATTAAAGATAATTAACGAATTGAATACAAGTTTGAATAAAGCTGCTCCTTGTATGGGCATTCAGCAGGTATTTTTAAGTATAGTTGATTCGAATTCGAAGTGCGATACACTTTTGCTTCAATTGTCATTGTTGACAACGTTAAAGCCGTAAGTTTTTCTTCCACAGATAAGATAAAGCTTCAGGATGCTACCGAAATGCTTTTGCGGCTTATCGAGTGGCTTGAAGTAGCCTTCAGAGTTGAATCAGTATCAGATGTGCACACTTCCTGCTCATCGGCTTCCGGTGGTTCCTGTGGTGAAATTATGGATATTATTGTAAGTTAAACAATACCATTTTTTATGATCGGTCACAATTAGAACACTAGAATTCATTCAGAACTAGGAAAAATTCACTATTTCTTGCCATTGCAGGATGAAAATATGGTACCGAGTGGTTCTAGCTCCGAGCAGACATTAACGCCAGGTGGTGAGGCGTCCTTTGATAAATTAACCAGTGATGATCTCAATTCAAATCTTGCTTCAGAACATCCATTTAATACTCTTTTCCATGGTTCACATGTTGAAATTCGACCTAACGCTGGTATCTTTTAAAAATATTTGTGAAAATTTGTGTGGAAGAGTTGACTGTCGTCTGTTACTAGAACAGTACAGCTGTTGATCCATCTCTTAGCTCTTTGTATGTAATTAAATTATGTTCATTTTACAGTTTTTTAAAAATACCTGTTTTCCATAATGATATTGTGTATTTAAGAAATCTCAGTCGGAGTTTCATCACCCCTGAAGTTGGCGAATTCACTACAAATGATCAACTTGGATGTGACTTATGACAACTTGTACGACTCATTAGAGGCATATCACCTTTCTGATGCGCCAGCTAAAGAGGTTTCATGAGTTTAGCGGTCTTATCATTTTTAATAGTTTCGATATCAAAAAGAAAATATAATTGTTTCTATTCCAGTTATGGTTTGAGTCGTTGCCGCCTGTAGTCATCTTTTCACTGGTTCGGTTTAGTTATAAAAATGGTCAAACAGAAAAAGTTCACAGTCAATTTCAATTTCCTCGTGTTATATATATGGACCGCTATTTGCATCGAAATCGTCCATTTGTGAGTGAGAAACGGATTGAACGTAAATCTTTAAAGAAACGGCTTGCACATATCAAATGTGAATTAGAAGGGTTAGTCTTATTAAAAATCATTATGCTTGTTCAGGCTTTCCTACGTTACTATTCAAATCTATTAGATTATTATCGCTGATGTCCGAATTTATTTTGATGCCACTTTACATTGAACACAGCTGCTTCATTTCCTTTTCTTTTGATCTTTCGATTTTTAACTAATTTTAGAATCGATTATTTTTGTAAAATTTAAAAAAGATTATAAGTACCAAGATTTACAGATGGGAGAAGTTTCCAGCTGGAGACACGAAAGTACCGCTTCCATCTTTGATAGATGCTGTTATCAAATATGCATCGTCGGCGACAAATGGGTTGGATTTTTTGTTTGCTCTTGAACTGTATTCATGTTATTATGCTCATGAATTTCTTCCTACAAATTTCCAGTATTGATTTCATTATTTGGTCGTTTTTTGCGGAGTTGAATATATGTTTGGAGATCATGTAGACAATTTATGTCTATTTGTGTGAGATTTAGTTCTTTGTTGAAATATTTTTGGTTCTAGAGTTTTTCTCGGGCAGAATGTGGTGATTATGTATCTTCCTCTTGAATTTACCATAATGATAGCAATGTATCTTTGTAGAATAACAAGTTTAAAACGTTTAGATGCACTGTTACGTTTTAAAATATGATCCGCTCTCATTGTTTGTTATACCTGCAATAATGCTGCTAAATGATAATTTTAGAAACATCCCTGTCAACTGTGATAATTGCAAGCAGCAGCCGATGGAAGTTTGTGATGAAACT